GCGTGCGTGCGTGCTTGCGTGTGTAGGGGGGGGGGGGTAACAATGGCACAAATTTCGGCCAGCGGGGTAATCAGATGTAATGGGAATTACTTTGGGATGCAATCAGGTAACCCTACTTGTCAGGCATGCGATTTTAGGTGGGTACACAGTCAGGCTGCGGGCAAGGTGGTTTTGAACAATCCGTAGCGCATCGGATTGCCTTGTATTTGACGATTTTCCTGAAAGCAGAGCACACATACCTTTATTATTTGAATCTTTTCCTGTTCTGTGGTTCATTAACTCTATCCACAATTTCATATGAACATCTAAGTTCCGTAATCGACGCTTCCAATGTTTGCATGTGTTGTCCGTGAATTTGGGTTTACACTCGGAGTAATACATGAATGAGACCTTATCTAAGATTCCCGTCATACATTTCGTGCCGCTGATGGCGTAAAGGCTTCTTGTGCTGCTTAAAGTCATGGGCATTTTTCCGCTAGAATGATGCCAACTTCTTAAATTGATTTATTAACTCTATTGCTTAATTCTACTGACAAACGTATGGGCGGGGTTTGTTTTTATTTATTACATATTACAATAACAAAAATATATAAATGTACATGTACAGAAAAAAAACAAATTGCATCCCTTAAACATATACATCATTAACCACAGAGAAACATCATAACAATGGACAGACTTTGTACTAGATATTTGACGACAGAATAGAGCAAGGCGCTGTGAAGATGTACATGTATTTTAGTCCATTGGTCGGTATGTGTACAATTGGCTATTTGGTCTCGGACCGGAGTATCTTTCCGTATTCGTAGCAACTTGACACCCTCAGACCGACCCGGAACCATATGATGAATACGGTCTATTTCAACATAGTCTCAGTTTGTGTGGCCTTCCACGGGTCATGTAAGGTCAGTTACTTTTGACCTTTGGTTAAAGCTCTCTGAAGTTTAGTTGACCACCTGTTAATCATACAGAAAAAACGTTACTACTTCCTATCGGTTCTCTCAGATTGCAACACGTAGGCAAAATGAACAAGACGTGAGAGGACGGAAGGACCACTTCTCTCCCTTCTCAGCTGCGACCTCTAGCGACGGAACCACCAGTCAAGTTGACGACGACATGTTGGTGTTTCTGTGTTTCTTTGTTTGATGTAACCAGTGCTTTTTCCAGTCAAAGTAACTCTTAAATATTATCAAATAGAAATATTTAAGGACCATTGACTATTTTCTATATGATAGGGCATTATATCAAACATGTTAAAATCAAATTTTGGAATGCTAACGATCAATCAGCCAACGTGAGGAAAGATGTCCTGAAATGTACTCCATGTGTCATTAAATCTTACTGTGTGTAACAGAAGTATAAGGTGTACTAATAGAATGATTGATATACTACTGATGATGTACAGCACTTTGGAGTACAGTTTTGGCCTTTTTGAAGCACTATTGTTTCACAACAACGTTTGCTTTGTTGTTCAGATCCTACCGCAGGTACCTCCAGACGGCAGACCGTGACTTGGACAATGGAGACCTGGACGCAGCAGAGCAGAACCTAGCAGCCGCCCTGAAGCTGGTTCACGGTCTGTGATACAGTATATTGTTTGTAGTTAATGCTTGAGTATTTGAACATTTACGTATACCTTAAACACTTTGACCATAAGCACCATCCCAGTAACACCAATCAACCGGCCAAAATATAACTGTTCACGTCTGGTAAATTCTACTTTTTTGAACTTCATATACCCTCAGATCGCAGTAAACCCAACAAGGCTAAAGAAGCCGACTGTCTGTGCAGGTTGGGTGACGTCTACGTTGAGCGAGGTAAGCGGACAGGAGAAGGTAGGAAATTCACACAGGCGGCAGCTCTGTATAACGCCTCCATGGCTCGGTCAGATGGAGACAAACAAAACATGGTACGAAAACTGCAAGAAACAGAAAGGCGGTTTCTTAGAAACACATGTAATTACCTAGACTGTGAACCGTGTACGTATAACAGTGCGTTAGATCACATAAAGGAACTCGACAACTCGCGCGCCCGTGCAAAATCTCAGCTCGAAGCAGTTCATCAGGAACACAACCCTTATCAGTATGATGAAGACGATCCCGTCGTGAGAGAGGTAGAGATCAAACGAGCTGAAGCAATCAAGAACTTGTTCAAGAGCATCACAGCTGGAAGACGAGAGTTTATCCAAGTACTGACAGATGAATGCATCGCCAAACTCGGACCTCCTCCCTGTAAGTACGCTTTCATCGGGATGGGGTCACAAGCCACAGAACTGGTGACGCCGTACTCCGACCTGGAGTTCGCCATTCTGATTGATGAGGGAAAGGATGATGATGATACACGGACGTACTTCCTAAATCTCACACACTACTTACATCTAAAAGTCATCAACCTTGGAGAAACCATCCTCCCAGCCATGGCCATCCCGTCACTCAACGACTTTCTCTCAGAAGACCCAGAGAAAGACTGGTTCTATGACTCCGTCACACCTCGCGGCTTCGCGTTCGACGGCTTCATGCCTTGGGCTTCTAAGACTCCGCTTGGAAGAGACCAAACCAAAAGCAAACCTACTGTTAGTCTCATCCAGACTCCTACCAAGTTGGCCAAATATCAGCATTTGCAAATCGCCCTGTCGGAAGGCTATCACCTGTCAGACATCCTAAGACGGGTGACCTACTTAACAGGAGACGAGTCTTTGGTAGATGAGTATACAAGCATTGTCAACAAAAGCGTAGAACGTTCCCCTGTTCTGTCACGGTCGTCAGCAATGCTAATGCTGAAGGATGATATTGGACAAATAGAAAACGTTGAAGCAACGGACCAACTTCTGGATGTGAAGAAAGAAATCTACCGTTTTCCCAGCGTGACCGTTGATGTGTTGAGTATTTGCTGTGGTATCACAATCCCCAGTGTGTGGGGAATGATAGAAGAGTTACACAAGACACAGCGGATAAGTGACGAAGATGCCCACCACTTGACTGTACTGATCAGCATCTCAGCGGAGCTACGGTTAAGAACGTACATTGCCAACGGAGGACAGAAGGACAGACTGTCTCCTCTCATGGAGATGAAAACCCAACTGGACAAACAAGACGTAGATGACACCATCGTTGAGTCAGTTTTCCACATACCGGAGTCTAAAATGTTGTTCAGGTACTACTATACAGCCATTCCATTGAAAAGATGTATCATCGATACAGTTCAAAAGCAAAATCAAACCACAAAGATATTCCCATTAGCCATCTTTGACATGTCATCTCAAACCAGGGGTGGAATAACAAAACAGCTGCTGCAGTTTGACGCATCCGTACGTTACTTTGAGGCAGCACTGGAAGAGGCGGGCGGCGACGAGAAAAAGAAGTTAGAAATACTTGTTGAACTAGGAAGTGTCTCGCAAATGCGGGGTGACTATAAAGATGCGATAAGTTACTACAAACGGGCACTTAGCTCTGAAAATATTATTTATGCAGACACCAAAACGCGTCCCGTCCTTTCCTTGCTATTTGGAAACATTGGGCTATATTGGAGTCACATTGGTAATCAGAGAAAGGCTATCAATTATTTCGAACAGTCCATGAAGATGATAAAAGCTATCTTTGGAGAATCAACGCCACATCCTGACATTGCTTCATCACTAAGCAACATCGGGTCATGCTGGAGTGCCCTTGGCAATAACAGGAAAGCTATCAATTATCACAAACAGTCACTGAGAATGATGAAAGCTATCTATGGCGAAACAACGCCACATCCCGACATTGCTAAATCACTAAACAACATTGGGGCCTGTTGGAGTAACCTTGGTGATCAGAGGAATGCTCTCTCTTATTATGAACAGTCACTGAAGATGAGGAAAGCTATCTATGGCGAAACAACGACACATCCTGGCATTGCTGATTCACTTAACAACATTGGGAAATGTTGGAGTGACCTTGGTGATAAGAGGAAAGCTATCGGCTATTACCTACAGTCTCTGAAGATGACGAAAGAAATCTATGGCGGAACAACGCCACATCCTGACATTGCGTCCTCGCTCAACAACATTGGGGCCTGTTGGAGTGACCTTGGCGATCAGAGAAAAGCTATCAGTTATCACGAACAGTCGCTGAAGATGAAGAAAGCTATCTATGGCGAAACAACGCCACATCCCGACATTGCGACATCACTAAACAACATTGGGACCTGTTGGAGTAACCTTGGCGATAACAGGAAAGCTATCAATTATCACAAACAGTCCCTGAGAATGAGGAAAACTATCTATGGCAAAACAACGCCACATCCCGACATTGCTAAATCACTAAACAACATTGGGACCTGTTGGCGTGAACTTGGCGATCAGAGAAAAGCTATCAGGTATCACGAACAGTCGCTGAAGATGATGAAAGCTATCTATGGCGAAACAACGCCACATCCCGACATTGCATCATCACTAAACAACATTGGGGCCTGTTGGCGTGCCCTTGGTGATCAGAGAAAAGCTATCAGTTATCACGAACAGTCGCTGGAGATGTGGAAAGCTATCTATGGCGAAACAACGCCACATCCTGAAATTGCGTCATCACTAAACAACATTGGGAACTGTTGGAGTAACCTTGGTGATCACAGAAAGGCTATCAGTTATTACGAGCAGTCACTGAAGATGAAGAAAGCTATCTATGGCGAAACAACGCCACATCCTGAAATTGCGACATCACTAAACAACATTGGGAACTGTTGGAGTAACCTTGGTGATCAGAGAAAGGCTATCAGTTATTACGAGCAGTCACTGAAGATGAGGAAAGCTATCTATGGCGAAACAACGCCACATCCTCAAATTGCGTCATCACTAAACAACATTGGGGCCTGTTGGAGTAACTTTGGTGATCAGAGAAAGGCTATCACTTATAACGAGCAGTCACTGAAGATGAGAAAAGCTATCTTTGGTGAAACAACGCCACATCCTGACATTGCTAAATCACTAAACAACATTGGGAACTGTTGGTGTGACCTTGGTGATCAGAGGAAAGCTATCAGTTATCACAAACAGTCACTGAAGATGAGGAAAGCTATCTTTGGTGAAACAACGCCACATCCCGACATTGCTGGCTCACTAAACAACATTGGGAACTGTTGGAGTAACCTTGGCGATCAGAGGAAAGCTATCAGTTATTACGAACAGTCACTGAAGATGAGGAAAGCTGTCTTTGGCGTAACAACACCACATCCCGACATTGCGCAATCACTAAACAACATTGGGAACAGTTGGCGTGACCTTGGAGATCAGAGGAAAGCTATCAGTTATCACGAACAGTCACTGAAGATGAGGAAAGCTGTCTTTGGTGAAACAACGCCACATCCTGACATTGCGTCATCACTAAACAACATTGGGGCATGTTGGAGTGACCTTGGTGATCAGAGACAAGCTATTAGTTATCACGAACAGTCACTGGAGATGAGGAAAGCTATCTTTGGTAAAACAACGCCACATCCCACTATTGCTACATCACTAAACAACATTGGGACCTGTTGGGATGACCTTGGTGATCAGAGGAAAGCTATCAGTTATCACGAACAGTCACTGAAGATGTGGAAAGCTATCCATGGTGAAACAACGCCACATCCTGGCATTACTACATCACTAAACAACATTGGGGCATGTTGGAGTCACCTTGGAGATAAGCGGAAAGCTCTTTCTTATCTCGAACAGTCACTGAAGATGACAAAAGCTATCTATGGCGAAACAACGCCACATCCTGACATTGCTACATCACTAAACAACATTGGGGCATGTTGGAGTGACCTTGGTGATAAGAGGAAAGCTATCAGTTATTACAAAGAAGCACTGAAGATGATGAAAACTATCTATGGTAAAACAACGCCACATCCCGACATTGCTACATCACTAAACAATATTGGGGCATGTTGGAGTGACCTTGGTGATCAGAGGAAAGCTATCAGTTATCACGAACAGTCGCTGAAGATGAGAAAAGCTATCTTTGGTGAAACAACGCCACATCCCGACATTGCTGGATCACTATACAACATTGGGAACTGTTGGAATGACCTTGGCGATCAGAGGAAAGCTATCAGTTATCACGAACAGTCACTGAAGATGAGGAAAGCTATCTTTGGCGAAACAACGCCACATCCCGACATTACTAAATCACTAAACAACATTGGGAACTGTTGGAGTAACCTTGGCGATCAGAGAAAGTCTATCAGTTATTGCGAGCTATCTCTGAAGATGATGAAAGCTATTTATGGCGAAACAACGCCACATCCTGATATTGCTTTATCATTAAATGCCATTGGATCGTGTTGGCACAGACTTGGTGATCACAGTAAAGCCCTACGGTATTACGAACAAACTTTGAAAATGATAATAGTTATCTATGGCACGTCACATCCCAACTTTGCAAAAGTAATGAACAACATTAGATCAT